TTCAAAAAGTCCGGATTATTGTCATGTTGATGCAACAACCACTCACAAAACCGCACTCTTGCTGGAAAATCGTCAGGTTGAAGGGCTTGTACACGTTGGACGTGAAACGGATACAGCCTATCTTCACGCAGCGTTTGCCACACTTTAGTTTTTGATACTTGCACTTCTCTAGCCACGTCTCTAGTGCTTGTTGATGGATTCTCGTCTACGCGATTACCTCTACACGCGTGACCGTAACTGTCGGTTGAAGGTTGCATACTGACCTGACACACTGACCCCGACCCAGTTCTGTCGTCGGGTTGAGCCAGTGACCTTGTACCAGTCGGTGATGTCGCGGCCACAGGCCGGTATTCAGATATTTTTGATGTTGCAGAGCCCTTTATCTCGGTTCCCTTAAGACATTGGCATATATGGTACTAAGAAAAATTGCTTATGTTTTCAAGATCTACACGTCGTGTAAAGGAAAACCCCAACTTTGCGGACACCCTGTATTTACGCATATGTATTTGAAATATTTAGCATGTATTTGAATGATTTCCTCGGTCATACAACGAGGAGGATTGAGTCAACGGTTTTGGTAAGAAACAAGAAAACTCCTAAATAAGTGACTTTGGGAAAAACGTATAAGACCTGCAATCTTATTTTTGTAGTTAGTTAATTGAAAATCGATATATTGGTGCATATAGCACATAATTAAAAAATAAAACAACACAGGGAACCTCTTACTGTTTCCACCGCATTGATGAAAAAATTCTTCGCTGCCTCAGTGGTATCTAGCCACATTTACGCACATTTTTTTTATACTCCAACTACCACGAAGGCCTAAGGCCTAAACACCCATAGGGTACCGTGGGGCTATAGGGGGATGCAGGGGAAAGGGGGAACGCCACACGGACTCTGGCGAGGGAATATTCTGGCTCCGCCTACGAGATCCGCCGGGTAGTACCTCCGCGTTCGACAGTCAGAGACCATCTACCACCTACGGACGATCACAACATCCATAGCCAAGAGAAAAGTTTCTCCTGGGACGGGATTCGAACCCGCACAGCGCACGGCGACTGATCAGGAGACCGAAGAGCCTACCACTACGGCCACCAATGCTGCCTAAATGATTAATCAAATACGTGTGTGTGCGTGCATTTTGGGATACCCTTCATAAGTTTTGGAATACCCCGTTACAAAAGCTAAATAATCTCGAAACCATGGAAAACATTCAATGACGTTGTCTGCCGCCTAAAATAAAAAAGGACAATCCTGGAACGAATCCACTGCAAATAATCGTCGTCGCCCACGCCCCGCCCGTCTCCTACGTCAATGGCTGAAGTGCTGATCGAGATGGAGACAGCCACTTGATACTCGGTAAACACATCCTTTATTCCATGACGATGACTATGATATTGCACATATGATTATGTACGTTGCGTCGCGGAAATCTCCAATCGCTTGTTAAGCAATAAGCTTAAAAAGACCTACACACCTAGAGGACAGTGCGACAAAAGAGCCGATTTTAAAACGACCTTCACTCATCTACTTAACGGATGATAAGTAGATATTCTATACAAAAGTTAGTGCGTTAAAAAAATCCCGGTTTTTTTGGATAAAAATCTCCTGACGAAGCTATGTTTGACTAAATAAAATTGGTGGTGGTCGCCAATGTCTGGTATCGCCATCGTTTAAGTTTTGTTCCGAGGACTCAAGCTCTATGCTAAATGCTTTTATATCAGAAATAATTTTTGCTAGTTCTTTGTCTCCAAAATTCTAAGCCAAATTGAATTTTAAAGTTTCGGAATCGGTTCATCACGTTGTTTGAAAAATTGAACGTTGACAGATATGATATATTATTAAAGCGTTTCAGCACTCGTCCCCTACTTAACCATTGGACTTCAGAGTGAAGAAGAAGTTCCCCGTATCGGTCAAGCTTTTCAATAATCTTCTTTGAGCTCTAATCTTATTCACAAGTTTTACTACCAATTTCATAACGCTGTTTAGTTTTAGAAAATGTCCACATAATGCTTGCTGAAGATTCTAATGTACAGTTTTATACTGCCTCTCGATATTCTCTTTTTTAGCAACGGAGACAGATGTATTACACTTTTACCTTTTACTTCTGTAAAGAAATATTGTTTTTCCCATTCTGAATGGAAACGGTATGTCTTTATCTTCTTACCTCTGCTCATAATGTTTTTAATTGCAGGCCAACTCTAACCCAACCGCTGGACTTACGCCGTTCAGTTTTAAGCTGAGCGGACTGTCGCCGCGCATTGCGTACTTATTCCGTTCAAAGTAATCGAGATCGTTCCAGAACAGATCGCTCACCGCAGTGTTGCCGCTGCTTGTGTTTATTATGAGAATTTACAAAATTTACGGAAGCTTCTATGATTCTTACACCTTTTTTGAAATATGGTGTGAGTCACCATAATTGCCTTTGCGACCACTGCCTTAGCGCACAAACACCAAAATTTTTGGAAAATTTGATATTCTGTTTATTGGATGTTATATGATATGTACATCACGAGAAATCAAGTCACTCATTTTCGTCGGTCTATCTATCTGTCGATATGTCTTATAACCGCCTATAACTTGAGGGGTACCACTCCGATTTCGATAAAATTTTCACACTATGTTACTGCTATGCCGAGGACACAAAAGCTTTGTAGGTTTTGAAAATTGGTCCAGTGGCGGCAGAGAAAAAGGCCTGGAACGAAAAAATTAAAAATCGCTCAAACTTCGTCTTTTGATTTTTTTGATGATAACGATCATTTTCGAAAAATCGATTAATCGATTATTTTTTAACATCTCTAAATATGCTCCAGTCCGGAAATTGCAAGAAAGACGATCAATACGTAGATTTTCAATATTCCCTCTCAGAATTATAGGAAACATCCGGAAACAAGAATACCGGATGTTCTTCAGCTTTAGCTTAGTATACAGGGTGGCGCATCGAAAACGAAACAGACGCATTTACTGGCAGCTCAGTTTTTTTTTTTGAAAAACGCTCAGATCCGTCGATTTTGTGTTCGAGGGGGACACAAATTTGGCAAAAAATCACGTGCAGCCCCCTGGGCGGGGGTGACACCAACCCTAAAATCTTAAATAGAAAGTGGGGGGGGGGGGGTCGAGTGATACCTTATTTTAAAGGTCTTTCAATTCCCTTTATAATGATGTATCCATGAGCTTCAGTTCAGTAGTTTTGAAGATTTATTGATTTAAAGCTTAAAGTAGACTTTAATAGGTACATCAGATTAGTTTGTACTACTTTCAGAAGAAATTTGACCAAAAAATTTACTTAATAAGTAAATGCTTTTCTTCACTACGCCCATGGTTTGTTTATCATTTTGTTGTTGAAAATAGCTATTGGAGCTTTTTTGTGGCAAAAAAGTTATTTCTTGAAGAAAGATAAGGAAATATCTCGTAGTTATTTTGAATAGGAATTTAGTACATAGTTTGCATTTGATTTGACCAAACTTTGTTGCTAAAATAATTTGTAACGCTTTATTACATAAATTAACCATGGTAAATTCCACAGCAGAAAGAGTTGAAATTATCAAAATATTTTTCGGAAATAATCAGTGCGCTAATAGAACAGCAGAAATATTTATTGAGCGACATGAGAACAGAAACGTGCATCGAAAATATGTCCTAGAACTTGTAGCTAAATTTCGGGAAACTGGATTAGTCGCCAATAAAAAACGCAACATTGAAAATCCCATAATTAACGAAGCAATGGAAGTGGAGGTTTTAGGGCAAGTTTATGTAGATCCTACGTTAAGTACCCGCAAATTGGAGACTGTGTGTGGTGTGTTTTCATCCGTATAAAATTCACCTGATACAAGAACTTGATGAAGATGATTTTAATCGGCGATTACAATTTTGTGAAGATATGAGTGAACGAATTATAAACGATCAACATTTTCTATTCAACACTTGCTTTTCCGACGAATCTTCCTGTTTCTTAAATGGCGTAGTAAATCGTCATAACTGCCGATATTGGTCCGATTGTAATCCCAGAATTTATCATGAGGTTCATACATAGCATCCACAAAAATTAATTGTTTGGGCTGGTATTTTCGGCGATCATTTAGTTGTTCCTTTTTTCTTATCTGGAAATTTGACCGGTGAAATGTATTTGGAATTACTGGAAGACGCCATAGATCCTGCATTAACAGTCAAAATTGAAAATCAGAATGATCGGCGGTACATTGCGAATAGGTTGATGTTCCAACAGGATGGTGCCCCACCACATTACGCATTACGTGTTCGACAATATTTAGATCAGACATTTCCAGATCGATGGATTGGTAGAAGAGGTACTATTGAATGGCCCCCAAGATCGCCAGATTTATCACCTTTGGATTCCTTTATGTGGGGTCATTTAAAAATCAAAATCTATGCTACTTAGCCAACATCATTAGAAGACCCGCGACAAAGAATTGTAAATGAGTGCCTTCAAATTACTCCTCAAATATTGCAAAATGTGCCGCAACGTTTTGAGAAAAATCTTTATTATTGCATGGACAGTCATAGTGGCCATTTTCAACATTTACTTGCCTAACGGGTCAGTTCATTCTTCATTTTTAAATTACTTTGATGCCAAATGTTATTGATCTCCACTAATGATGATGTGTTAGTTTTATTTAAGCTTTAAATCAATAAATCTTCAAAACTACTGAACTGAAGTACAATTATTTTATATCGTTATAAAGGGAATTAAAATACCTTTAAAATAATGTATCACTCGACCCCCCTTTCCATTTAAGATTTTAGGGTTGGTGTCACCCCCGCTTAGGGGCTGCACGTGCTAACGTAATTTTTGCCAAACTTGTGTCCCCCTCGAAAAAAAAAATCGACAAGTCTGAGCGTTAAAAAAAACTGCGCTGCCAGTAAATGCGTCTGTTTCGTTTTCGATGCGCCACCCTGTATGGTTACATCTAGTGCGACAGCCATAGCACCTGAAAGAAAAACAGTCCACCTACTTGACATAATTTGTTTTGCCATTGCAGACGCAAAGCTGACGAGGTGCACATCCTGGAGGAGACGATCCGCGCTCGGAGCGAGCAGCAGAAAAAGGCGGGAGTGGAGCTGGATGCGACCTGCCACATCTGCCTCAAAACCAAGTTTGCGGACGGTGTGGGCCATCTATGCAACTATTGTTCCATCAGGTGTTGCGCGAGGTGCGGCGGGAAAGTCACGCTCAGGTCCAACAAGGTATGACAAATGTTTTTAGACCTAATAAAACAAAAGACATACACAAAATGAAAAAAAAATCAGTATGATATCCTTCTCGCCTTCTTGAACAAAATTTCTTGTCGGACCAAATCAGCCCAACTGGGGAAACACGGATAGACTACACATATGTAGCTCGTAACCTTGCTTTGCTTTAGGAAACTTACTGGGACTAGTCAGTCGTAAGTGTCTCCTAGATACTTATTTTACAATGGCATACAGCCACATGAGGTACTTGATTATACAGGCTGCGTCACCTATTACTTTTTTTTCTATTTGAAAGATCAACAAGCTTTATACGAGGTGAAATCGAATTCTTTTTATTGATAAATGAAGGTTGGTTTATGCCATTTATGTATGAAAAATAACATCAGTCATAACAGTCATTACAGACCAAAATCCGAACATCATAATTTTCAATGACTTTTCCCAGAATAATCGGGTCAATGGCCGCAATTTCAGTCCGAATATTGCGCTTTAGGTCTTGGAATTCTTCGGGGACCATTCACGTACACTTTTCTTTTCAAAAATCCAAAAAGAAAATAGTCAAGATGTGTTAAATCGCACGATATCTGAATTTCGTGAAATTATGCGGTCTTGAAATTTCGTGTGTAAGGCGATTGTTTGCCGAGATGTGGGAGCCGTTGCTCCGTCTTGATGAAACCAAAGATCGTCGGTACCAATACGATCCAATTTTGGCCACAAAAAGTCTGTTAACATGCCGCGATAACGTTCCCCGTTGACGGTAATTGCCTTTTCTTCGGCATTTTCAAAGAAGAATGGTCCAACGATGCCACCAGCCCATAATCCGCACCAAACAGTCACTTTTTCAGGATGGAGAGGTTGTTCATGATATTGGTATGGATTTTCAGCCCCACAGAATCTGCAATTTTGCTTATTTACGTACCCATTGAGGTGAAAATGAGCCTCATCAGAAAAGAACACTTTGACCGAAAATCCGTCTTCTCTTTCCAGCGTTCAATTAATAAAAACACGCCTCTGTTGATGGTCTGCCTTCAGCTGAACCAGATTTCTCAAAACGATTAACAATCCAACGAATTCCAGGCTCTGTAGGGCGCCCATGTCGACCAAAACTAGTGCGAAGTTTGCGAAACGTATTTTTTATATTTCGACCGTTTTCGTAATAAGTTTGGATAACCAAGATGCGTTGTTGTGTTGTAAGCGAATCCATGACTCTAAATGACATACTCTTGACAGTTAATTTATGCATACCACATGACTTTTGACTCACATGGTAACACATAAACTTATAGGTAAAAAAAAGTAATAGATGGCGCACCCAGTATATTATGGCATTTCTTTTGGCATACAGAGAATATTCATTCTACAAAATACGCTGATTAGATTAATCTTTGGTCTCAATCCAATGAACAGCTGCAGTCCTGTATTTAAAGACAATAAAATTTTAACGTTACCATCAATATTGTTTTTTTTTGTTTCTGATATACCGTACCGCAAAATCACTGATCAGCAGCCAAAAAATATCCTAAATAAAATCAACAAAATATTACTATTTTTAATGTGCTAAAACCGGAATGAAACTTATTTTTTCAATATTAGTTCAAGTTTTAGAGATACGGTAATTATATGTGTTCCTGCTGTGACAGTGTTAATATAGTGTAATTCACAAGAATGCACGTACTACATTTTTATATTCGGCAAGGAAAGATGATGTAATCGGCATGATTGTGTTACGTTATACATACGTGTACATTATATTGTTTTATATTAGCCATTTTTTCCTCAGTTGGCTGACAGAGTTCATGCAAGATGTCTCGAAAGTGTGTAAACAATCCAGATCAGTTTTGTTACGTGTGTGGTGATGTGACTTTTGCGTCTCAGAGACGGTCTATTACTCCACTAATAACAAAGGCATATCAGCTTTATTTCGGTTGTAAACTAGGTGATCAAGACAAACAGTGGGCACCCCACATCTGCTGTAATACATGTGCTTCAAGTCTGAGGAGCTGGTTAAATGGCAAAAAACGGTCTATGCGCTTTGCTGTCCCAATGGTTTGGAGAGAGCCTACAAATCATATTAATGATTGTTACTTTTGCATGGTACCTTGTGTTGGACAAGCCACAGGTATGTCCAAGAAAAAAAAATCCCTTATTAACTACCCAAACATACCATCTGCGATGAGACCTGTGCCTCACAGTGACGAAAATCCTATTCCAAAACCCCCAGAATCCTACACTTGCGAATCAGAAAACAAAACAGATCATGGCGATCGAGTGATTCGTCAGGAAGAAGATATGCCATCAACGTCAAGAGATCCTGATTTTATACCGAGCACGTCATGCCACCAACCGCACAAAATAACACAGTCAGAATTAAATGATCTTCTAAGAGATTTAGAACTTCCAAAATGTAAGGCAGAGTTACTTGGATCAAGACTGCAGCAGTGGAACTTGTTAGAAGACGATGTTTCGGTATGTGTTTTTCGTAAACGCCACAAAGACTTAGAACCATTTTTCAATATGGAGAATAACTTGGTTTTCTGCAGTAACATTAACGGCTTACTGGCGGCTTTAAATATAAACCCAGAAGAATGGAGATTGTTTATAGACAGTTCAACATTGAGTTTAAAGGCAGTGTTATTGCATATTGGAAATATTTTACCATCTCTTCCTGTAGGGTATGCAGTTCACATGAAAGAATCATATGACAATATGAAGTACCTATTGACATGCATAAAATACGATGAGCACCAATGGCATATTTGTGGCGATTTGAAAGTTGTTGCACTTTTACTTGGGCTGCAGCTAGGCTACACAAAGTTTTGCTGTTTTTTGTGTGAATGGAACAGTCGGGCAAAGGCACTTCATTACACCAGACAAAACTGGCCTGTTCGTCAATTCCTAGAGCCAGGTCAAAAAATGTACAGCATATGCCATTAGTAGATTCGAAAAAAATTTTATTACCACCACTGCATATCAAGTTGGGCCTAATGAAAAACTTTGTCAAGGCATTAGATAGAGATGGGTCAGCTTTTCAATACCTGCGTCAGACTAAGTGAGGCAAAGGTTAAAGAAGGTATTTTTGTTGGGCCACAGATTCGAAATATTTTGAAAGATACACAGTTTGAAAACACTTTAACAGGTATTGAAAAAACTGCTTGGAATGATGGTCACTAATTTCTTGGGAAACAGAAAAGCTGACAACTATAAAAACCTTGTCAAAAATATGCTGTCATCGAATCAAAAGATGGTCTGTAATATGTCTCTTAAGATTCATTTCCTACACTCACACCAGGACTTTTTTCCTGACAATTGCGGAGCCGTAAGTGATGAGCACGGCGAACGTTTTCATCAGGATATTTCAACAATGGAAAAAAGGTACCAGGGAAAGTGGAATCCTTCCATGCTTGCAGACTACTGTTGGGCTCTTGGTAGAGATGCTCCAGAAACGATCCATATAAGAACAGCAAAAAGACAGCGCATATAGTGATTCTTATAAGTATATGAATCTTGTTACTTTTTTTAATAGATCCTTAAAAATAAAAAGTTTTTTTTCTAAACCGCAACTAATTTTTTTATTTCATTGTCATTTTTGGATTCAACGCCCCAAAATTAACAAAGAAGTGCACTTTTCCCACAAGATACAATTAAAAAAGTAAAATTTGTTGTCCAGTGATTATTAAAGGTCAAAGGGCTTTAAAGCAGTGCAATCATTTTGAAATTTTTATCATTTACTTATTATGCTTCATTAAGTACTTATACATTTAAACTGGGTGTTCGGATTTATATGTCACTTAGTATATTATGGCATTTCTTTTGGCATACAGAGAATATTCATTCTACAAAATACGCTGATTAGATTAATCTTTGGTCTCAATCTAGTGGACAGCTGCAGTCCTGTATTTAAAGACAATAAAATTTTAACGTTACCATCAATATTGTTTTTTTTTTGTTTCTGATATACCGTACCGCAAAATATTAGTCCGCAATAGAGGGAACTACAAACTGTAAAACTACATCAGCCTAACGCTATAGCGAAGCATTAAATTAAAACTTCATGACCCGTGAACTCGATACTCCAACATCACTGTACAACTGTAATTTAACCTTATATAAATTGAAGTTGAGTATTATATAAATCCTTCTTTATACCAATTATGTCGTGTTTGAAACACACCAGAAAAGTACGGCTTGACGTTTTGGCAGCTGGATGCACTCGTTGCGACCCGAGTCGGCATCAGTTCATATAAAATTAACGATCGTTCTCATAGCCGCAGCAACGTAAAAGTAAAATATTGGCCGCTTCCCGTTAAAGGAAATCGTAGCCAGTTTTAAAACAACTTCTGACAGTTTCAAACTACAATCTGGTCCCGAAACAGCGGAGAGTAGCAAAAATCAGTTTTTTTTGTCATAATTTTTGTTTTTTGCTCAGGAGATACATATTATACAGGTGTTATCAGCATGTAAGAGTGGTGTATCTTCAATGATGTACATCAAAAAATAATACAAGGATCAAAGGACCTAAGACACTGGCTTGAGGTGTTCCGCAATCGATGTTCAGTAGATTCTGTATCATCAGTTTTTACAAAAAAAAATGTCTATACAAATGGCAACCATGAATTAACACAACCTCGAATTCCAATCCTGTCGAGTTTATCAGAAACAGTTGTGGGCAACAGTCTCAACAGCTCTTGTCAGGTCGAAAGATATCGCTGTTAGGAGCATACCACTATCGACACTCTCAAGTATATACTGAACACGAATTCGGTATGTATATATATATATATATATATATATTTTCCGCCTTTTGTTGGGTACTTCGACAAAATTTAAGCAAAGAGGACTCTTTATACTTTTTTTAATTCTCTCTAGCTTTCAATGGACTTTGCCATCATCATCAGGAGCTGCAATTACAATGATAACAGTAGCAACAAAGGTGTAAAATGAATTTAAATTGACTCAACTTACAGTAGTATGTGAGGATGTTGCTAATTGTTGTTTACGTATAGGATGAGGGAAACGTCCAGTAACATGGTGAGAGCTGGATAGATTGTACAATAGTCAAACTTATATAAAATATGACAAGAACAAGTTAAAAACAGATTAAAAATTATTTAAAAAATTAGAGCATTACATCGTGAAGCCACTTGATGATTGCACAAATTAGTGGTCATGGAATGATGAGTGACATGAAACCCTTTGACAGAAGGCCGAAGGATGTCAATGTCAGTATTGAAAGATGGAACGAATTGTGGGCGTGTGCCAAAACGTTGCCAAATCACTTCAGATGATGAGATTTTCAGAATTTTATGTTAGAATTTGTTAAACCGACCAGAGGCAGTTGAATAAACTATATTATTATTAATGGGAATTTAAATTAACAATTATTAATAAATCGTGAGGAGAGAATTATTATATTTTGAGTGGAATGAAATTTACTGGTGGAATCGGCCAAAACACAGATTCTAATTATGGTTGTAAAGAGTTGAAATTTGGGGAGATATGTAAGTTCTCCAATTTTTCGCAGTTTAGCAAATATGAGTAAATGACACTCAGTTGTTTAACATCTGTCTTTTTGTTGATACAGTTGTTATTCATGAAAATGTGGGACATTTCCAGGAATAAACGTTTGGAAAGGTGTTTTCTTTATCAAGAACTTTGATACTTGTGTAATTCATAGAATGCCCTGTTGTGTTAACATGAGATGCTAGAGCGCATCTTTCAGGATGAAGCCTAGCATCACTTTTGTGTGATGTAATCCTTCCTTTAAGAGATCTGGAGGTCTGACCTATGTATATTTGGTTGCAGTTGTTGCAATTGATGGAGTAGACTGTGTTGGTTAAGCCAAGCAGAGGGACTTTGTCTTTCATTTTTGAAAAAATGCAGTTTATAGTGAGAACGGATTTGCAAGCAATTCGAAAGTTCAAAGGACTGCACAATCTGATCAGCTTAGGGGTCAGTTCCTTGATGTAGGGCAGGACAGCAAAACCAGGTCTGGAGTCCGGGTTGGTGCTTGTACTGTTAGGATTGATGTTATTATTGGGAATTACATCAGTTCCGTTATTAGGGGTTGTGCGACTATTACCTGCATCACCAGAGTTCGGCAAAATATTGGAAGGTGAACTAAAAATGATCTTGTTAATCAGACACTTCGGATAACCATTATTGATGAACAGTTTTGATAGTTTACGTAAATTTGAGGTGTGGAAGGTATTATCTGAGATGCTGATTACCCTTGTTTTCATCTGTTTTACCAAATTGATTTTAATTCCTAGCTTATGGTATGACCTAAAATTGAGAAACCGACCTGAGGCCATAGGTTTCTGGTACCAGTCTACCAATAAACTGTTGTTGTTGGTGCGAATGAGTCTTGTGTCTAGAAAGGGGACAGACAGGTTCTCATCTTCTTTTTCAATGGTAAATTGGATGTAGGGGTCATAGCTGTTGAATTCTCTGACAATACTATCCAGACCTATGGAAGGGAGGCATAAAATAATGTCATCTACGTATTTTTTTATGAAGAAGAGGTTATAGGGTAGTGTCGGAATAACAGTATCAAGCAGATCATCCATGACATATTCCGCCAAAATTGGTGATAGAACAGATCCAATAGGACAACCATGTGTTTGAGAATATATTGTGTATCTAAAATGTTTTTGAGAAAATAAATTGTTTTAGAAGTAAATAGTTTCGTCATGTTTAGTTTATAAAGGCATATTTTGGTGCAACTCTTGAAGTGGGCCAACTGAAGTGGGAAGGGGCTCGTACGATGATTATGTAAGCGAAAGTTAAACATCATATTCAGTCTGTTAAAATTAGGTTGACTGTATATCTCACCTGCGATTACCTTGATCGATTGTTCCAATCATAGTTTATGTATCGCTAGATTTTGAGAGAAACCAAACACACAGAGTTAATCTACTTGACGTTATCTTTTCCAGGTCGTCTGGATATGCATCCTATGCCGCAAAAAGCAAGAGCTCCTCAGCAAAACCGGCCAATGGATGGCAGTCCCAGCGGGGGGCGGACCTCCAGTGACCATGGGAGGAGGAGCTAGCAGTGGCGTAGGGGCGGGGGGGCCGTTCATGGAACCTCAACCGTCGCCGCAACAGTTGCCGCCCACTGACAAGCGTCCGAAACTGGAACGAGCCAGATCGGCCGCCGAGAAGGAGAACCAGCCGTTGGTAGGCAGAGCGGGAATGGCTGGAGCGCCGTTCAGGAGGCAGTACTCGGAGCAAGAGGCGAAAGCGCAATCGCAGCACTGCGAAAGGTATGAAATTCGGACAGATACATCCGCATCTTCATAAGCTAAAAAGAAATAACCATGAGGTATTTTGTAAAAAGGCAATTACAAATTTCATAAATCAATGTAAGAAAAAAATATAGCTATAATTCAACAGATAGATATGAAATCCAAAAATGAGCACACAGTTTGCACTTCAATCCGTCTTAGCTACAAGAAAAATGTCGCAAACGTCGGCTTTATTAGCATTCACACGCATCATTTTAACAGGCGCTTTCGAAAGTAAGTTTGTTTGAGCTCTTTGGCATAAAAAAGGAACATTATATCTGGATATTAGTCGTGGTACCAGAAACTATATTTGTGGAAGCATTGTGGGACAATCCAGTGGCGGCTCGTGGCACAATAAAACAGGTGTTCAGCAAATCCGAACTTACCTATTTTTTATATGTCAGTTCGATCCTGCGCTCCTTCTTGGCAGCAAATTTGTCGATTACCTTCCCGTTGAAATTTTCCATGGTCGAAATTAATTCCTTTTCAATGGACGGCATCGACAACGCTGTGAGGCGATCCTGGGTCATAGTATTTCGAAGAAAAGTCTTGATTCCTTTCAATGTTGAGAAATTTCGCTCAGCCTGTAACAATAATTTCTAATAGCTTTTTTGTTTTTTTTAGTGTTTCCTCCAAAATATTTTGTATCAAAAATTGCAAAAGAGAGAGTTCCATGTAAATCTCGGCAATCATTCCGTGCATAAATAACAGACAACTCTGTATTTAAACGACTTTTTTCTATTTCGGGATAAGCCAAGCAGGTAGTTTCCAACTTGTCATCAGGAAGCTTACCACAGTATTCTCCAAAGTGTTCGGGGGAAAAAAAGGGATGCGGCTACCAAATGATCTTTGAATTGAAATCTGTCATTTGCAGAATTCACCATTTTGTTGCCTTGGGGTTCGGTGCAAATACTTTTGGCTTCATTTATTATGTCATCAATTTTATTTCTCACATCGACAATACATTTTTCAAAATTATCAATAGCCGTTTTAACTTGCGCTGGCTCCGTTTTTCTCTTCTGCAACTGGTTGAACAAGATGTCGACGTGAGGCATGACATGATGAAAAAATGTCAACCAAAACACGAAAACAGAATCGTTTAACATACGGCGAATACCGCAAGCTGCGTTGCAAACGGTTTCATTAGTGAAAATTTGAAGCATTTTTTATGTGTTCGCTTAAGGTTATATCAAGCTCAGCAGAAAAATTAATCAGTCGACGAAATATTCCCGGGTTTTGGGAGCTCTCGGTTTCGTCTTGGCCCCGTAGCGCCAATTCAAACGCTCCGCAAAATTTTATACCAAGCACCGACCAATCAGATATCGTACTTCGTATTAGATCTGTAAGGATCTGTATAACGTGCAGCACATGCTTATGCTTAAATCGCGCATTTGATTTTGTAGAGGGAGACAAAAGCAAGCGCGTGCGGCTTGTGTCGAAGTAGTGCACAGACCCTTTTCAAGTGGCCCATGAATAATGTTATGTTGCGGTCGCGACGAAAATGACAAGTACACAATTGGTCGATTATACTGCTTTCTCAATACAAAACAGACTCGACGCTGTGTCTTGCGGGGGCAGCGTTGCCGGTATTGTTTCTATTTCTGTGATAACATGGAAAATAAATAATGATCAAATTACTACTGCTTTTTTCTGTTAAGACAAAAGTTTTGGCAGTTCTGCAGCTCTGCCCCTGGGACAATCTATTAGATTATGCAGCATTTTATACAGAACGAGAATTGCTGATCGCTGTTCTGAGGATTGAAAACCAAATCAATAAAGGATGGTGTTATATTCCGTACCTCTAGTAGGACATATGCCAACAATCTTGGAACACGAGAATTTTAAATCTTTCTTTTGAAGTCTATCAACAGCATCGATATATTGCTTGCAAATCGGACTCCATATCAGATCCGTATTACAGACAAAGACAAAGACTGTAAAGTACAAGCGTTAACATTTTTACAATTCCTGATAACAGTGTTACAGGTTTTGAAAGCGCCTCTAATAGTTTGATCAATATGTTCATTGGTAGTTAGTTGTTGATCGAAATAGATGCCTAAAACTTTCACAGTTTTAGTCAGTTGAAACCCAGGTATTCAAGCTGTTGATGTAGTATGCACAGATTTTTCTAAAGCACATGGCAAAGTAAATCGTGGTGTCCATCTTAAAAAACTAGACAATTTCGACTTTTTAACCGAATTAATTTTTTTTGCAATTTATTTTTATGTTCCACAACCTACAAAGTAAGATCAGGCGTTCCACAAGGGTCAAATTCGGGCCCACTTCTGTTTAACCTATCTATACTAAGTGACATATGAATCCGAACACCCAGTTCAAATGGTTTTATTTTAATAAAAGTTGGTGAATGTATTTATCTTACTGTAAATAACATGTGAAAAAATTTTCAGCCTTATCAGTTGGACATTCCGGTTTTTATACTGCTTTTTTTTAATTCACTACCGCTCTAAAAATGAATATTTCAGCCGCAGTAAAGAATCAGCGTTGGCGGATTTTGGTTCTTGACATCCTTTACGATCGGTTACGATGCCTAGAGTACGGAGACCTGTAGGATTTCGTCAACTTAGTGAGTTTGATAGGGGCCGTATAGTGGGACTTCGGGAAGCTGGACTTTCTTTTCGGGCAATTGCAGTTAGAGTGCAAAGAAGTGTAGACACTGTAGTTAGGTGTTGTCAGGCATGGCTTCGAGAAGGCCGTACGCAAAGAGCAATGGGCACTGGACGCCGCCGTAGAACAACAGACCGTGAAGATCGCCGCCTAAGATTATTGGCCTTAAGGGACCGTTTCTCCACTACCAGGTCCATTGCAAATGAATGGTAATCGCCTTGAGTGGTGCAGACAACGGTCACTCTGGGATCACGAATGGAACAGTATTGTCTTTAGTGACGAGTCTCGATTTTGTTTAGGCATGCACGATGGTCGTGCCAGGGTTAGAAGGCGACGTGGTGAAAGGAGGAATCCACAGTTTTTTGTTGAAAGACATGTTCATCACACTGTTGGAGTTATGGTTTGGGGTGCTATAGCTTATGGTTCCAGATCACCTGTAATCTTCATCAGAGGTAACATGAACGTGCAGCGTTATATCCACGAAGTTCTAGAGCCCCATCTTTTACCCTATCTTGACACCCTGCCAGATCCAACTTTCCAACAAGATAATGCCCGACCACATGTTGCAAGAGTCACAATAGACTTCTTTCAACATAATGATGTCACATTGTTACCATGGCCACCAAGATCTCCCGACTTATCCCCAACTGAGCACGTGTGGAATATGATGGGTAGGAGATTGCTCAATTTGCAACGTCCTCCTCAGACTCTAGTAGCACTTCGAGAGGAGTTGGTGGTTGCCTGGAATGAGATACCACAGGAGGGCATTGACCACCTGATCAGAAGCATGCCTGGGCGCGTTGGAGAATGCGTAGCACATCAGGGTGCATCCACACATTATTAAAGGTCAAAGGGCTATAAAGCAGTGCAATCATTTTGAAATTTTTATCATTTACTTATTATGCTTCATTAAGTACTTATACAAAATTTTATTAAAATAAAACCATTTAAACTGGGTGTTCGGATTTATATGTCACTTAGTATATAAATGATCTGAAAGGAGTTCTTACTAATTTCAGTAACTGGCTTTATTGTTGCAGGTATCAACAATATAACGAAGAAGATCCGCGATTTTATCAAGGCGAACTAGAAGGACTGATGCGAACTCATCCTCATTTGGTACCCAGGAGGTAAGTCCAGGGTTATTAAAATTATTTCTTAAAATAGTTCCTATAAGTGTATAGTTAGTGGTAGTTTCTTCTCAGTCAGTTTCCATTTGCTCATGTTTGAGAATACTTTTACTCCATGATATAGTCACATTTTAAGCCTGCTAGACTGTTTCACCAGTATTTCGCTCCTCATTTAAACAGTCCTCTAGAAAATGGACTATCTAGCTTTACTGAAACACCCCATATCGCTATTTATAACGAATAATGTGATTTGCTATGAAGTCTTTATTCTCATACCCTTATAGGAACCAGATTGTTATATCCAAAGTAGTTTTGAATAGACTACCTTGTCGACAGACTAGTAAAAAACACGTTGAATCATGTAGCCACTAAAATAAAAGAAATCATACTGTATTTTACCCCGTGGTCCCAATCCAGTTCCTCAAGCTTACAATTCGTTTACGAAGAGGAACAATTGACTTTCAGGGATCACAAAGAGTCTGAACAGCAGTGCGAACAGGGTAACGATGAGGAACCTAGCTCGTACCAAGGCGAGCTCGACACCTTGATGAGACTTTACCCTCATTTAGTTCCCAAAAGGTAAGGTAGTCCCCCAGTTTCCCCAACACGATCCAGTTGTTAGGTCTGCATGCGCCGTCTTCACTAACTTTAACCCAATCAGTGATTGTTATCATATAGTAACTGTCTTATAACTGGAGTACATGTTAAATATATTTTAGTTGAGCATATTGTGGGGTGGAGGATAGAAGGAAATAGTTGTGTTGACGATAATACCGATGATTTAGCGGTGAATACAAAATGCAGTTTTTGTTACTGTAAGATTGTGAATGTGTCGTTAAAGTAATTCAGTAGCACACATATTTGTTATTCAATATGCCAGATCGCTCCGTGGTTCTGGCATGGAATCTTATTTTAACTCAATTTTATGTTTGTTTAATTCCAAATAGGTTATTCTGCACAAGAACACGCACAAAAGCACATAATACAAACCTCTTGACTCGATATATGCGCTTTCTTAGATGAACACCACTTCACACTGGTTTGAAGTATTCTCTCATGCCTTTTTGACACATGCTTCTTACTTGGAATTGACGCTAATTCCACTAATTGCATACATCACCTAAAACGAGCGATGCATGAAAAATGGAAAATCTTGCCCTGTGGACACAAATGAGCAAAATACGGCATTAAGATTTTTTCAGCATTTGTCAGAAAATATCTAATTCCTATGAATTGCTAGTCAATTATAATCGAGGGTCCTGATACCATAAATTCCTTGATATGTTGTACATCTTAATGTATGCGATGTAATTGTGCCTGGTTGTATTATTATGATATACAGGGTGACTTTGAAGTTGAGTCATTAATTTTCAGATAATGATTGTAGAAGGAAAATAAAAAAAATGTGTGTAAAAATAAAAAAAATTAAAAAAAAAATTTTACCTTGTTATATAAAGTATCCTCCCGACAAGTATTTCAGTGCGGACCTGTATTTGATCGTGAGGTCTTGGAGCACCGGCATGCCGTCCCCTGTGAGGTCTTAAGTCACCTGATTCACGAGCCCGTTGTACTACATTAACAAAGGCACGAGGGGTTGGTTGCACTCGATTGGGAAACCGATCCGCATAAACATGTGCCATTTATGATTTCATTTGAGCCACGCAACAGACACCACTATTCACTCACGCGTTACCGACTGACACTGACTATAATATACAACTGAATAAAATAATTGTAAAAACATCGTTCCAAATTCTTTCGCTTTTTTGTTTCCGATGCGATGAACCGATAAGGCGGATTATATCCGTTGTTGCCAAACACGAGCACATAATATTATTATTGATACAGGGCGGTACTCAAACTTCCAAAGAGCTATAACTTTGTTACTTTAATTATACCAGAAAAATGGTAAAGGAAAAAAACATTTCTTTTGATCAGATCTACTCACTGTTAAAATAAATGACTCAACTTCGAAGTCACCCTGTATATGGTGTTCAAGACTAAGGTGACAATCTTTCTGATGCATCCAGCACACAAAAAATAATACAACAGGTTCCATTGAAAAAATATCATACGGAGATACAGGTCCCCAAAACTGCTACAAACATTTATTGAACAAAACAAAAAAAAAAAAAATTACAAGAAGTGCTGGAGGATAAGCAAAAGAAGGTTATTTTGTACTACCCACCAGCTAAATGGTTTCCAGTAAAAACTAAAATAAAAAAATATCTAGGCAGGTGCTTGGCTATCACAGGTAGGCAACCGACGGCAGGACGTCCCAGATGTAACTCAATACCCGAAGGTAGAGCCCTTGAACAATGCAGACAGTTCCCCTCAACTCGATGGTTTAGTGCAGATGATGGCTAAAGAGGGCGAGAAAAGGGCTCCGACAATAAAACAGGCCGATTTCTATCAAAATCTCCACAACTCGATAATCTCCAGTACAGGGTGTGAATTTATTCACCACTGCGGGTTGTGAGCCGCGGAACACCTACACGAGAGCATCGTAAATAACATCAAGCCACCTTCAACTCTCGTATTTACGGTCGACAGAAATCATAAAAAATTACCTTTAACGAGATGGAGAGTAGAATACGATTTTCTACCATAAAATGATTAGATTAAGAGAAATGTTTTGTTATAAAAGTATATTCGATATTTTTTAGAACTGCTTTAAAATTATTATTCTAAATAAGAAAAACGTTGTAATAATCTTCTTTATTAAGATATAGTTAATTATTAGTCGATAACAAAAATAAACTGTAACAAGATACGGAGTAGTTCCAATCCAGCAAATTGTTTGTTTACCAACAAGCTTGTGGTAGGACTACACAGCAACAAGTTGATTGTCTTCTATAGGAAAATCATCTTGTGGAGCTTAAACTAGTTACTGAGCTAAGAATTTCGATAAAAGTTAAGTACCATTCAAAAGTTATTTAATAAAAACTGATGTCCAGCAGAGCCACGTATCTCCAAAACGAAGCCACGTAAGACATTTTCTCAGGAACCTGTGGCATTATTTTCAGGTGCCATAATATACTGAGAGACTACCACCTTATTATAAAACATGTTGTATGTCCTGTATTTTCATCAGTATAGCGAGTATGTCTGTTTATACTGCCAACTTCAGTCGAGTCATCCTGACCTGTTCTACGTTATAATTATCAGCATCACTACAAATGATTGATAACCTGAACGTTTGTTCCAGGTATCCAGACCAAGAGATGGCGCCGATGCCTGTAGATCGGGTACAAGCGCCCTCTAACGCCAACAAGAAACATAAAAAGAAGCAGCAGCCTCAACAGCAGCTGCACTCATACTCCAGTTCGGAGGAGGACTTGAAGTCGACGCCCGAATACGGCAGTGACGAGAGAGACAGCGAAAAAGGTAGGTGACGCTTTTTGTGTCGCTCAAGTGTACGTCACTGATCTATTACTTTTAGACGGTGGTTTGAAACGCTTAGGTTAGGCTGCGAAGGCGGATTGTAATCACTAATATATGAAAAATATGACGAGATGAAAAAGCCAACATACGCAACCCAGAGCCTCTGAAGTCTATAACGTTAAACAGATGATACCTCTGACAATTCTGTTGTCACATCAGCCCTTTTGACTGAATAGGAAAGAGACACAGAAGACGGGGTACATGTCTAGAAGGCGATGATTCCATCGCGGAACGCAGATAAACAATTTCTGTTATTTTGATATGATAAGATCAGGTGTCCCGGCGTGGGCGAGTGAGCAGTATTCCAGACTGGGTCTTGCCTGGGCATTGTATAGAGTAAGCAATGAGACTTTAGATGCTGAGGATCACAACTCAGCTACGAACAAGCAACGTTCCTTCAATCTTTCGACTTTAAATTCATTAAACTGCTAATATACAGTGACACAGATTCACCTATATATCAATAGTGATACAATCCGCCTTAAGGTTGTTGCTCCCATTTGTCAATTTTATCCTCTGTGTATGTTCTGTTGGGTATACATTTTCTCCTAGCATTTCACAAGGATGAGGTATGTAAAGTAACACGTAAATGTTGTGGGAGTAGTTCACTATCCATGTATACCTACCACTTAGTACATGTAGAATGCAAGATTGAAGAAAGACTATAGGTGAAACGAGGACCTTTGATTGCAAATAGTGGGCATGCCAAATCACTCCCCGATATTGAATATGCAGTGAAAGTATATTGTGAGTCAAAGTTTGTATCGAATCACCAATTAAGCTTAACGTTTTTATTTTAATATAATAATCTATCAGATTTAATTGACGTACGAAAAAGTATAAAAATATGACAACTCTACAATGTTAATTTCAGCAAGGTTTTGGATTCAAGCTTTTGTACACTGTAAAAATTTTAACTCATAATATCGAGTGTTGTCATCAGTTGTATTAAAAATATTTTTTGTCCCAGGTCTACGTATTTATATCAAAAAATGCAATAAATTTTCAAAAAATAATGCATATCCGATACACTGTGTTATTACCAGAATTTTTCCATGGCATATTCTTTTTTAAAACCTGATATTATGAGTACAGTCCAATTCCTTAGCACATATATGCCAATCTTAAAAATAGGAAACAAAAACTAAACTTCAATCTGATTTCAATTTCTTGTGTAAAATAATTGAGTGAAATCCATTTTGCGATTTGCAGGAAGCAGTCAGGACAGCGAAAAAAGTACAGATACGTTCAGCCGCCAGGTGCTGCTAGACGAAAAAATTAAAAAATTCCTAGCGGTGAGAGTCGCAATCAGACAAGATGCATTTTCGACGTGTCTGTCCCTTGTCAGTCGTTGTTGTCGTTTTATATTTTTGTGCATGATGATCTCTATATATCTGATTGTTGTCAGTCCACGCTGCTTCTGCACTCTTATTTTTATATACTTATATCATTACTATTTAATCTACACACTGAAAAACTATTACAATATAAGACACCAATATTACAGGAGTTTGAACGGAAATTTGGGTATACCTTTTAAGCTCAGGTGCTAGCAATACGGGACGCTCTACGGAGTGTCTCATCTGGACAGGTTTTGGTTGGTTCGATTCTTACCAGCAAAGCAAAAGTTTCATTAGAACTTGAAAATTCTCGTACCAGTTACATCCTGGAAATACACATACTACTTCACCGTGCTTACAGTCTTAAGCATTAGGATTTTTATACCCCATTCGTAGTCTGTTTACACCCAGACAAAACACAACATGCCCAAAAGCGAGCTTGTACAGGTCCGTGTTTTCCTGAATGGTCTTGGAATAATCAGACAAATTTAATAAATATTTTTATAGAAAGAACTGCACATACTTTTAACAACTCTTTATTCGCTGGAAGTTCTTGAATCGTCATCCGATTGGTTAATATTAATTATTACAGGTCCAATTTCAATATCGATCATTCAGGCAGCAGCGGTGGCCGCAGTAGTAGACTCTTCGGTCTCCTGATCAGTCGCCGTGCGCTGTGCGGGTTCGAATCCCGTCACATGAGAAATTTTTCTCTTGGCTATGGATGTTGTGATTGTCCGTAGGTGGTAGATGGTCTCTGACTGTCGAATGCGGAGGTACCACCCGGCGAATTTCGCATGCGGGGCCAGAATGTATGTATGTTGCATCTATAGCCCCAGTTTACCCCATGGGTGTTTAGACCTTAGACCTTCGTGGTGGTCGGAGTATAAAAAAAAATATTGCCCAGATTCCAGATCTTTGTTTCTATTGTTTCTTGAACGTGACGGGTGCAATCTTACCAATTGTTTGCCGTCACTCTGGTGACAGCTTCATTATACAAATTTTCCACGTCAAAAAATTTGAATGTTCTATTGTTGGGAGCCACCTAGTTTTTTATATATGACCAAACCATTTAAATGGGATTTAATTCGCAGTGATAAGGGGGGAGAGATCGCTGAATGAAATAATGAATACAAAAGACGTCATTTGAAATGTTATCATGAATTATTATTTCTGTTTGTAAATGAACTTTATATTTTGGAATATTCAAGAACGATTGAGAAACAATTAACATACTGTTTGATGACGGCTTTTAATGTTAGCAAAAAGAAAACTAAAATAAATTTATGCTCCACTAATTAATTTCAGTCTGTCAGTTTTTCATCTGGTAACTAGATATTTTAGAGTATTTGTCAAATGAGATGGAGACGCCACGTCATGATTGTAATCAAAAATCGAATGTTTTATGTTTTATGATATATTTATATATATATATATATATATATTGATATATTTAATTATCCCAATGGCCTACTTCTCAAACATGAGTCGTAATGTACTATTATTTGGGATACATATAAAACCTTAAATGACCATACATTTCTTGTAGCATTCAACGTCAAAGGACAAACATTATTTTCGTCACATCTGAGGGAAGTATAACCTTCAGAAGTAGAATGATTTACTAAGGACAGGGCATGGAAGAAATGCGTAAACGTTAACGTCCGCCTATTTTTCATGAGATACGTGTCAAATGAGGTTTACGTATGCGGTAACTCTCTGTCACGTCTCATCTTTGACCTAAAGCTTCTGTAAATTCTCGATTACATGTCAACTGGTAGCTTCCGAGTCTCAACTATTTTTCTTCTATAGACCATTTTGAGTTTTATCGTCCGTAAATGGGTATATTTTCCATCTGGCCTTCTGACAGTTTACTATACATTTTTTGACACCAATTGAACCTCTTGCAGATGAAATACTCCGTAGATGCTCAATAGCTAACCGTTTATATCTATAGGTATGTTGAATAAAATTGGTTAGCAAACTCACTTTGTCAAAGGGTACTCGTAAAGCCTTTCGGGGCAACTTTCACTATTCCTAGAATTATGTCTTTTATTCAGAGTCCGGAGTGTTTGGTATTTAGGGTATATTGTAGGTGCTGCATACAACAGAGTGTCTGAAAAGTTCAGGAATTCGACGTTAATTTGCGAACCTATAATGGTATGAAAAAACTTCGAGATTGATAGAAGTTTTTCCCAGCTACTCAATGGTGACCTTGGCCATGACCTACCAGGTCATTTTAAGGTCAAGACGATTTTTCAAACGGACATACATTTTTGACACTGTAAATGAGAAGTGCGTAACAGTATTGTCTTGACCATTCCTAAATTTTGACCTTAGGAGGTCATGGCCAAGGTCTAACCTAGTTACGATTATATAGCTTGAAGACTAGTAGTCGTTGCGGGAAACTACCATGGTATTATATTCATATTTTTTCTCCGGAATCCAATGGAGACTTGGAACTGACTTTAACCTTCAAGGTCATGTGAAGATGTGAAGGTCAAGTCGATGTTTGTTGCCAGGGAGCAATCCTGAAATAACAGTGAAGTCAGGTTATCTGGGGATTACACAGTTTTCTAGGTGTTCAAGAAATTGGCGTAAACTTGTGTTTGACCTTAATGGTCAAGTCCAAGGTCAAGGTACAAAAATTGTCAATGACATATTTGAACCTAAAACTTTGTCAAAACTATGGGGTCCCATTAAAAAAGTGTTGACTTTCGAATGGCCTTGGAGGTCATGGCCAAGGTCAGATACAAGGTCACCATTTGACATCTGGGGTAAAATCATGAAAATAATGTTGCAGCGAACTAATAATGCTATGAATAAACCAGGCCTCGCTATTGATAGAAGTTGTTCCCAGCTACCCAATGGTGACACTAGATTTGACCTTGAGAATGACCTTCAAGGTCATTTTAAGGTCAAGCCGATTTTTCTAATAGACCCCCATTTTTGACACTGTAAATGAGAGAGCCGAACAGTATTGTCTTGAACATTCCTAAATTTTGACCTTAGGAGGTCATGGCCAAGGTTGCACCTAGTTACGATGATATAGCTTGAAAACCAGTAGTCGTAGCGGGAAACTACCATGGTATTATATTCATGATTTTTTCCCGGATATCGAATGGAGGCTTGGAAATTACCTTAACCTTCATGGCGGTGTGAAGGTCAAGTCGATTTTTGTAGCCAGGGAACGATCCTGAAAGAACAGGGAAGTCAGTTTATCTGGCGAATTCACAGTTTTCTAGATGATCAATAAATTGGGGTATACTTGTGTATGACCTTGAAGGTCAAGTACAAAGTCAAGTTCCAAAGATGGTTAATGACATATCCGAACATCAAATTTTCCCTTTGCTACTTTTCCGCGGGCAAAAGTATGGGGTCCTATTAAAAAAAAGTTGACTTTCATATGACCTTGGAAATCATGGCTAAGATCAGATCCAAGGTCACCACTGGATATCCAGGGAAAAATTATGGAAATAATGTCTTGGTAGCTTCTCTATACTATTATATTCATATTTTTTCTCCGAAATCCAATGGAGACTTGGAACTGACTTTAACCTTCAAGGTCATGTGAAGATGTGAAGGTCAAGTCGATGTCTGTTGCCAGGGAG